GCAAGAACATTTACAATTCTGTTACAATCTATCATTTTACATCATATGTGGTACATCACATGTGGTGAACATGCTTACAGTGTTTTCATACAAGTATTTTATTTTTAATAGTTTCTAACTTTTATAAAAGTAAGTATATTTGATATGCATGTTACATAGTTACTCAATTATATTACTGTTTAATATTAATACACATTTATAGAAAAATATATCCCAATAGTACTTAAGCGGACCAGTAGGTTACCTAAACAAGGTGGTGTTGGTGGCATGTTTAATTATGGCAAAGCACACGAGGGCTATCTGCCTAAGGGAAGGGATGCCTTCATGGAGAACTTTCTAAGGGAAACTGGATATACATGTTACACATGGGGAAAACCCACGAAAACATCCATGCAGCCAGCCCGTTCACGGGATTCGAACATGTTACCTAAACACAAAGCCTAAGGTTTGCCTAAAGATAGTGATGTCTTCATAAAGGACTTTCTAAGGAAAACTGGCTCATATTCACACGTTTTTCATCTTAGAAGTCTCACGTGGGTTTATTTTAATTTAGAATCGAAAGAAGGTCCTTGAGAAAACTGTCAAATGTTCAGAATTATCAGAGGATGATGATACTTTATAGCAGTGATAAAAATTTGTATTAGGTCCATTCGGAAAGTAATGGAGAAGGCTATAAATGATAAGAATAGTAATATACATAACTGTCTATATAGATCACAATTGCTAGCATAAGATAAGACAGGCGATATGATAGGTTATTAAAATATGGCAAAGCACACAAGGTCTATCTGTGGGAAGGTATATCTTCATGGAGGGCTTTCTATGGGGAAATTAGTTGATTTTGCACAGGCAAAAACCAATCCTGCAGCCAGCTCATTCACCTTGGCTCAAATAAAGGTTAAACTATTAATACCCAGTGACCTTAACCACTCAGCCACTAGTTGTGTGCAAGATGAGATAGTTACAAGGTCAACTATTCAAAAATTGATAATATTCATAGAATAGCTTCCAGCTGATTAAAGCTCTAATATTCTTCTAAATGACAATGATACTCAATCAACATTTTTTTTTAAACTTTCCAAAAAGTTTGTACATGTTTACTGAGCACTCTGCTAATGAAAGAGGTTTGTATGAAAAAATACATACAAAAATAAAACAAACTAATATGAAATAATGATGTTGATCAGAGTTATGATCATCATAATGTTCATCTAAGTATAAATTGCTAATGATCTAAACATCTGTCAATAGATAAGACAACAGTAAGAACTGCAAAATCTTGAGATAGATGTAAATTATTTATATCCGAACTTTATTTTAATCTTTCTGATAAATCTGAAAACTAGAGCAAGATTCACCATGTAGAAAAACTTGAATGTTCAAGACAGATTTCAAGCAGGTACAAGTGAACATAAAATAATTCTGCACGGCAATCAACTCATAAAAATATAGTTACATTCAAAGAATGTACAAGTTTGAAATAGTTATGTTACTAAACAAACAAGGTATAAACTTATCAGTAGTGATTCACTCATAGACCATCTGTATGATCTGAATGCATACAATGGAAAAACATAAAATTAGCTTGAAGGTACATTAGGAGAAAGTAGAATATGGAAATAGACATCTTCTATGAAACAGCCAGCACACACACACACACACACACACACACACACACACACACAATGTGTGTTACTTGACAGTTCCTTGACAGTTACTAACTGTCAAGGAAACAAAATGATTTAAGTTAAGAAAATGCAAGAAAAGTACAACAGAATATCTGTGAATTGACTAGAAATTCTCTCCATAACAAGCAGGAATGGGACTATTCACCCTGGCTGTTTTGCTGTCAAGACATATTTTTCTTTGCAAGACTGTATTATTTCAAGTTAGTTTAAACTAATAACTCTGCTCAGTTTAATAATTTAATTTGATAAGTATTTTATATAAAACATTTTTAATAAATTTGAGCCGATTAAAATTTCAAGAAATTTTGACGTATCATGTAAATATTGTACCCACATAGTTTTAAAATCTAAAACATAACTTCTGTTATATCAGAAGTTTAGCCCCAGTTCTCTTTAATACTGACATAAGTTTCCAACTATGCGCAATTTCTTTATATCTTATACTTGTAAATAATTATGTATATTAAAAACAACCTTTAAGTACACATGAGGTAAAAAGTAAACAGAATTATTAAACTAAATAAATTTAATACGAGTATAATAAGGCAACAAAAATACAGTCATGTAAAAAAAAATATTTCTTGATGGCGAAACATCCCAATGGCAAAATGGCCACGGCGAAATGACGACAGCGAAAAATCCTAGACGCTAACAGGCATAGAAATGTGGTTGATTTTACAGATCATTTAGTCGATCTTTATGAATTTGATTTAAAATCTTAAAAATGACCAAGAAAATATCTTCTGCAAGATGTTAATGACAGTTACAGTAAAGTTTCATATTATATTGCAAGAAACAATTAGAATTTGATAACTTTGTCTGTGCAGCTCAATCAAAATTTTAAGCAAAACATAGATGTGAAACATCTATCCTTAAAAGTACATTAAAAGAAAAAACAAAATCCTTTATTAATACTGAAGACATATGCCGATTGTAATAACTCAAAAGAAAAAGATGTGTTGGATGTTCCAGCAATAAATATGAGAACAAAAACTATGCTTCATATGTGATGTTTAGTTTTGTGATGAATGTTTTACACTAACCACAACATATTAAGTTATTTTTTCATTGCTGTTGGAATCCTTCAAAGATCCAAACACTGAATAAATAACTTCCTTGAACTTTTTTATCAGACCTCTTGCATCACTTAAAAAGACTGACTGGGATAATACGTCCCAGGAATAAATTTCAAAATAAGGATTGTTCAATGAGTAAGACAAGTATTTTACTTACAGAACATCACAAAAACACATCAATCATGTTTTCAGTGCAATAGTAAAAAATCCTCTTGAATTACGCATTTAGATCTACTGAAGTTTTAAATACATCAAGAAATAAATAATAAATTATTATATATCATAAAATTAAAGTTTTCTATCATAACTTAGTTTTCTTTTTATGCCTCAATATGGTCACTACATTACATTTTAACATTCAAAATCCCTGTAAAAATATGCAAAACTAATATATTTTAATAATTCATGACGATCTTTCAATAGCACACTTTCTAAAAACCAGATTAAATTTTTGATTGTTTCTAGTTTCACAATGATTTACACTAATATAACAACAACCATTTATACTACCACTAACCAAAAATATTGAAATAACAGAACTTAACTGCCTCATATAACGATATACAGATGTGTAAATAACCATTAGAAATAAGTTAATTAAATAATTTTAAATATACTTTCATAAGAGTACAGGTTAATGAAATATAATTTGGTTAAAAAAGGGCAATTTTGACGCCTTCCCCGCCACCCCACCCCAAAAATTATGACTTACTGTTAACTATTATTTTGTTCTTTACTCCCTAAACTTCAGTTGAATTAAATGCATACTTTGCTGGTATTTGATGTACTTGGTGCTGTAATAATATTGACAAAACTAGATGTTTATGAAATAAATTTTTACTTTCAATGTATTAAATTACAAGATTAACTTATTTCAGCATGCACTGATTCCAATTTTGTCTCGAATGAAGTTCTATATAAATAATATAACTTAATCCTTCATCAATCATTTTGCTGCATTAATAATTTTAAATCATGTCCATGGCACTGCATTTCCTACGCCAATTATATCGAAGAGAAATATTTGAAATTAAGATGCATTTATTATTTATATTACCTTCTATAGACCCTCTGAATAAGGCAATAAAAACAATACAGTAATATTTTTCACACAGTAACCTTAGATCTGCATCTGCATCTGCATCATTTCTGAATGCTATTTCTTGTAAATTGTAATCAGTTTATTCCTGTTCGTTTTTAGCAATTCAGAGTTATGCGAGCTATTTTCTATATGTAAGAAATGCGAATGTGAAGGAAAAAAGCAAAGAAGTTAAAAATAAACAAGAAATAGTATCAAGTTTTATTAAGATTTAAGAAACTTTATAAAAAATTAAAACTTTCTTATGCATAAAACGGTAGTGACATGGATGGTGCAAGCATCTCAAAAAGTCATATTTTCAGCCAAGAATCTATATTTTTTTGGAAAGGAAGGGTTAAAAAGCAGTTTTTTAATATATGATGAAAGTAACAGGTATTTTATATTACTCATTTACAATATATAATATTTTAAAAGCTTAATTGTTTTGTCTGTCCCTTTGAAAAATAACAGATCAAAGTTTCACCAATACTTTGTGAATTAAAATATAACATTACATTTGTGTTTGGCTACAAATGATATTTATTTATTTAGTTGCTAATAAATAACAAAAGTAGGTCCTCAAAACTAGATGTGCATTAATTTTGTATAAAACTATTCGTTTTCAAGGTTGACTGTTGCAAGTCCATGGTCCTGAAAAAGCTAATAATTATTCAGAATTTTATTGTTCCTTACCAGACACAAACTTATAGTAGTTGACATAATTTAAAAAAATCCAAATTTGTCTATCAGAATTTTATATATAATCTACACCGATTTAAGAATCCCCCACCTTCTAATCTTATATTTTACACACGCTAACATAAATTAATGTTAATTACCAAATGATTAATGGTTAGAAAATAAATAAAAAATATTTATAAATGTATGACAATCTTGACTATAACATGAGACAGATATTCATATTGAATTGCAATTTTTTGGTACAAATGCACAGTGATCTAAAATGTTTAAAAGCAATATTAATCATACAACTGTTGCATTCAGAATGTTTAAATAAACTTAGAGTTTTCAATACTGAATAACATAAGAGATATTTAGCATAAATACTAAAGAAGAGATATCCTCACATTGAGAAAATTAAAATAACACATACAAAATTAATAAAGTCAAAATGAACATGTGACAATTAATAATTACCATCTTTTTCTCCATTTTAGCTTTGATATCCCTGGCCAGTGACATGAATGCATCTTGAACATTAATACTGTTCTTTGCACTAGTTTCCATAAATCTGATTCCATACTCTACTGCTAACTACAAAAAGTATTTAAATATGAAGGCAGTCAGTTTATTCAAATGCCAAAACTGCAGGAAAGAGTTCATATAATAAAATTTATACTTTTAATAGAGAAATTATGTATATATATATATATATATTAATAATATTTGAAAGTATTAGTGCCATATTTTACCTTGCATGCCATGCCTAATATAAGAAAACATTTTTGCAAATTTGCAAATATATGAAAATTTCATTCTAAAGGGGGGATGAAAAATGTTGTTTTATTCATGCTTGAATGATTTTTAATATTAATTTTAGGGGCTTTTTATTACAGAAAAACATAAGCCATTAACCAACATTTAATATCTTTGTCATATATACATGAGATCTTAAAGTAATTTTAATGACAACTTATTTCTGAGCATGGAAAATTTCAGTACAATATACCTGCTGGTGTCTTAGAGACCCTATTTTACATGTTGCAAGTTAAGAATACTATCTTATACAAACAAAACTGAGTTTCAAGTTTTTGTCATAGAAAACTGCTAATATTGGTTTGGCTTATTTGGTTATGGCAAAGCATGCAAGGGCTATTTTCCTAAGAAGAGGTGTGCCCGTGAAAACCTTTTTAAAAGAAACTGGCTCCTATTCAAGCTACACATTTGGAAAACCACAAAAATGCTCATGCAGCCAATTGAATTACCAGTGTTTAGTAACTTTTTCCACAGCATCAGATGATATAAAAATAATTATTGATATCAATTGATATTATGAAAAATAAGTACAGATTGACTAGAGATGATGATATGATAAATACTGGAACACTTACAATTAACCCCTTCCTTCTTGCTCCCGTCAAAATGACGGGGTGAGGTTTCGCCCTCTATTTCTCATGTCGTGATGTTTCCGGGCTGGAGAGTGCAAAAGTAATATGCTAAAAGGATTAAAACCTATTCATTTCTTTCGCATGGAAAAAGTTTTATTTCTCATTTTACACACCAGACGGCAGTACCAGGATAATATTTTATGCAACTAGAGATAGTTTATTTTAAACTAGATGTTAGCACTAATCAAACGTGTATTTATGTTATGTGTTTTGTAATTTTATCATTAGCTCAGTCACTCATTTAGTTTCATTGTGAATGCACGTGGTTTCGGTTCTGTGATAAAATATACTTAAATTTTTATTCTGTACATTATGGAGTCAGAGTCAGATAGCGAATTGGATTCTGATTTTAGTATGAATGGATCTGGAAGTGATTCTGAAATAACTGATTTTTATTAAAGTTTGGTTAGTGAATCTGAGAGCAGCGATGATGGATCTGTACTGTTGCCTGGACAAGCATGGACTAAAATTGTGTCTACTTCAGCAGATCATGCACCCCCACATTTTAAATTTTGGGGAGTACCAAAGGTAAATATAAATTTTAATCTAAGTTCTGGTGTCTTACAATATTTTAAGTATTTTGTGAACGACAATTTAGTATCTAAAATATCTCTCTTTAAATCTGACAATCTCATCGTTTCGGAAACAAATAGATATGCCGAACAATGCCAAAATTCACCAGGATTCCGCCTATCCAAAAATAGAAAACTTTGGATACCTGTCACAAAGGAAGAAATTCTTAAATTTCTCAGTATTGTTATTTTACAAGGTATTGTAAAATAAACCAGATACAAAAATGTATTGGAGCAAAAAGCATTCAATTTCAACACCTTTTTTCAGAAGCATAATGCCTTGTAATAAATAGATTTTATGAAATACACAAGTTTCTGTATTTTGTAGATAATGAAGCTTTTGATTGTAACACACATCCAAATCCCAAGCTTCATAAAATCTAACCAGTATTGCAGCACAGCTGTAACTCCTGGATGTGATATTGTAATTGATGAAAACCTCATGCTTTTCAATGATCATTTAGGATGGCGATAATATATGCCGAAAAAGACATCTTGTTTTGGAGTAAAATCGTATTTGTTATGTGAATCAAGTTCAGGGTACATATAGTCACAAATTATATATACTGGAAAAGATATGGTTTTTGATGCAAAATATGAAGTTCTGCCCCAATCAATTCAAGTTGTGATGTCACTTATCAAGCCTCTGCTAAAACAAGGATATTGCCAGAAACAGACAATATACCTCACCAGAATTGGCAGACATGCTTTTAAAATTTCAAACAGACATTTATGAAACTGTAAAACTAAACCGAAAAAAATTTTTTCAAGAATCAGTAAAGAGCATCGCAAAAGGCGAAAATGTTGCTTTTCATCAAGGTAAAGTTTCTTGCCATGAAGTGGAAAGATAAGAAAGACGTTACCATGCTATCTAAAGTTTACACAAATGACATGGTAGATGTGCAGTGTCATAACAAAGTTGTCAAAAAACCTATAATTGTCACAGATTACAATAAAAATATGGCAGCGGTAGATATTGTAGACTAGTATCTTGGAGATTACTCTATTGCTCGAAAAGAGGAAAGAAATATTATAAGAAAATATTTTTTCATTTTTTAGACAAAACTATTTTGAACTCTTATTTTATTTACAAAAAAACAGGGCAGAAGAAAAACCCACATGATGTTTCGTTTATCTTTAGTAGATGAACTTATTGAAATGTATCAGTCATCAGACACCATTTCAAAAAGAGGCCGGCCAAGCTTGGAGGATAATTCAAACCATTTTATTGAAAGACATTTTATTAGACAGATATCCCCAACTGATAAGAAACGGCAACCATCAAGAAAATGCAAAGTTTGTTGTTCCAGAAGAGAGGTAGGAAGGAAACTCTGTACTACTGACCTGATTGTGACATTGGCCTTTGTATCTCATGCTTTGAAATTTATTTAAGCTTTGTTTATATTATGCATAAGTTTAATAAAATTCTCTTTTAATGTTTAAAATACATATTTCTGAAATTTTCCTGGCTTACTGGAAAACCAACATTCAGTCAAAATAAACCTGAATGTTGGCTTTTCCTAAAAAATTATATTTAAAAAATTTCAAGCTAAAAAAAAAATCCAGAAATTGAAAATGAATGCATATATTGCACATACATTTATTTCTATACAATTTTCATCAATAAAAAAAATATAGGCACTTTTATGACTGTTTTCTTGAAAATTATCTGATCGTTAAGGGGTTAAATAACAAAATACAGTCAAAAGTCGTTAATCCGGACTCGTCGGGACTTCGGCGATTCCGGATTATCGATTTTTCCGGATTATAGATCATCAGTTTAAATCTCGTAAGATGGCATGCAGAAATTCCAAAATTAAAAATATGAAACCGTAATTTATGAAATAAAGAACAATTATGATCTAAAGGGTATCAAAATTTGCAAAAAGAAAAAGCTTAATATTTATTTGTTTACTTTATTAAACATTTCTTTCAATGTAAGTTGTTTAAGTTTTGCTTGCTTCGTTTCATGTGATAATACTTTCTCTTTAATTCTATTAAACAGACATAATTTTTTGTTCAGTTACAAAGTTCCGCCGTTCAAGTCCTATAATTGCTGTGTCAAGAACACCGACTAATTTGTCAATCGAAATTTTTTTGTTTTCAATAACCTCTGTCACTTTCTTCGCTATCGGAAGCGAATTATAATGACGAGGAACTTGTTTTAAATCATATCAAAGACGGAGCATATCGAGATGAAATATTACATTTGGTAAGGAATTATAAGCCAAATAAAATAAAAACATCTGCGCTGAAGATAAGGATAGTGCTGACAAATCAACTTCCAATTCATTACGCGCGCCGCCGCCGAGCAGCGTGAAATGATAAACAGATTTCGGATTTCAAAACATACTTTCGCTTTAGATCCTTTACATATTAACAAATATATATCGGAAATTCTATTTGATATAATCAAAAGTTTAAGCTTACTTTTATAAAATTGCTCTTACAGTCTGCAAAAAATAATAAGCCGGATGCAATTCGAAAATTAAGGACAACGCAATCATCAAACATTAAAAACTGAAATAGAAATTATATTATTTAGCTTATACGTCCATTATACATAAAATGCGCACGCGAAAACGTATTCTGCACTTGCGCACACTCATATGCGCAGTCGTAAAAGGTCTTACGCGCACGCGTGAACGCCTCTGCACATGTGTCAACGCGGCGCATGCGCAGAAAGTTTTTATTTTTGATGTCCGGATTATAGATCATTCCGAATTATGGGTGTCCGAATTAACGACTTTTGACTGTATATGATTTACAATGGTGTAACAAGCTAAATTTTACACTTTCCTGCATGCAACATGTATCCAAAGATGCTTAGAACTTTATAGTTAGCCTTTTACAAACAGCAGCTAAGTTCTAGCAGTGTAACTACAGAGACAAAGAGTAATAAAATGATTTAAGGACGAAAAGACTCTGTTGCTAACTTGGGGAAGACCATTTAAAATAAGTTTTAAAATGCAAAATAATTCTTTTTATATTGCTAGGCACTCAATTATTTTATTAATTATTCTACAGCAATTATTAAAATCTAAAAATCACTGCTTTCCTATTAAGAATAGTATTTTACAAAAACAGTAACTAAAAATAACATCCGTTTTTACTTCACTAATAAGTGGCATCCATTTTTAGTAATACTGCAAAATGTTAAAAAAAAATAATTAAGGAGATCTCTTACCATGTTTATATTTAGTACAGTAGGGGAAAAACTTCATTTGTCAATATTCATTTGTCAAAGCTCCACTGGATAAATTGGATGAACTTGGAGCTGGATAACATTTAGAACTTTTTTAATGCTACATATTTCTGGTCAAATCATGACTTCTGAATGTATAGATAAAAATTTTAACATCTTATAACCATTTGCTAAAATTCATTCTTTTCTTGAATGCAATTCATTATCAAATAAAAGTTTATCAGATTTCCATGTCACCATTTCAGTCATGAAGTTAGAGCCAAAGTGTGAAAAAGAGGATATATACATATGTAAAACAATCTTCTTAATTACACAGGAAATTATTTAAAGCCTCTAAAGATATATGCATTGACTAAATGTGATTAGTTACCAATAATTAGTTCTTGGATGTTACTTGACAAACCAACTTGGATAATTGCCCGAAATGATGTCATGTGCACTGTGTGCAATCTGCTAAAGATCTAATTTATCAGGACTAATGTAGAAATAAATTAATAGTTGAAATAAATTAATATCTCATAATAGATACTTTAATGAGTAACTTGAATGCCAACTAAGCTGATTCCCAGCCACTAAAAGGTTAAAGTATGCAAAAATCCTTCCTCACTTTACAACTGAAGTTGAAATTGTAAGTTATTTTAATAATAACACCTTTAAGAATTACAATTTTTTTTTTTATCCAATACCTCAAACTAACAGGCCTCATCAGTGGCTGAGTGGTTAAGACTCCAAAATACTGGGCATTTGAACTGAATTTGATTCCTGATGAACAGGGTGACTACACTTATCCCAATCAAACACAAATTTTAAGCCATTCTCAAAGAACTTTTTTGGTATTTGGTTTCCCCCATGTGTAATGTGAATAAAAGCTGGTTTCCCTTAGAAAGTTCCCCAAAAAGGCATCCCTCCTCTTAGGCAGATAGGCTTAGTGCATTTTGCTGCATTCAAATAATGTAATATAATCTCAAACCAACAGACCTCTAATTTCTCATCTACTATAATACAAGCAAAAGTGAATGTTTTAAAATAATTTATTAAAAAAATAACCCAGGTAATATAAGACTAAACTTCAGCTCCTGACACGAAAATTTACACTATAATGTTTTAGAGGAAAAATTCAAACTTCTGATAAGGTTTCAAAAACATCTGCTCCAGCTTCGAAGAAATCATATTCTGATGATCAAGAAATACAAAAATATTGTTGCAATGAATAAAAAGCACCAATTATTACTGAAATAAAAGAATCCCAAATATTCCATTTAAAAATATGCCTGTCTTATAATAAAATTTCTTTTATCACATGTATGTGGGATGTTTCCAGAGTTCTAGGAATTGAGCTTAGTTCGAGTCCCAGAATTTATGGTTAACACTACCAGCCAGAGATAAGTCTTGACATGTTTATATGGCTATCCTGTGCAATGGATTCTGATTCAGTTGTTTGACTGATACAGGCACATTTCTGTAAGGATGCTTTTACAACCATGGAAGATGTGAACAACAGTCGTCATTGTTTTGTGGAAAGCAGGTGTGAAAACTTCAGAAAATCTTCAATGTCTGTTAGTATTCTGGTCTCACATTTGAAGAAAAAAATTATGGAATGTTCTGTTTGAGTGTTTAACTATGTATATGGTGAAAGAAAGGATACTGAAAAAGATCTGGAAGAATGGCTTAAAATTTAGAAAAAAAAAAAAAATTCGTTGGGATAGGTGCATTCAATTAATTACAGATAATACTGATAAAAGTTGATGAAATATAACCAGTCATAATATTAATCAAAACCAGAATATTATACAGTTGCTATAAGTGCAACACAGAATTATTCTAATCAAAACAACTATTTGACTGGAATGTTTTACAAACTATTGCTGAAACAAGATTCCTTATACCAATAACACATATTTTTCAGTTATAAAATATATATTTTTGGAGGGATAAATTAAAAGTGTGGATCTTTTCCACAATATGGCAATATGTAACAAACAATTTTATTTGCAGAAAGATACATGTGCCAATGTGTGCTGCCTATAAGAATATCACTTTGATTATTTGAACCTTATTTTTGTGAATTCACAAGCACACCCTGAATAACACAAAAATGCCATTTGAACAAACCACAGTTGACTTTGTTGCTTATAGCCATTTTCAAATTAAATACAATGCTTTTATCTTCTATAATAGTAGTTTCAATAAAAAGTTTTGCAGAATGTCGTTCTGCTTTAGTTCTCTGGTTTATTAAAATAACTGACTCTTAGCGTTTAAGTTTTCTTTAAAGTTAGAAACCTTTAATTACTATAACAAGAAAGATCCCAAGTCTCTTCTTAATCCAAAGTAAAAAGCAGAAAGACTTGAGTGGCAAGGCTGTCAACATGAAAATGACCCCTTGAAAGTGATGTAATCATTATACAAGATGATCTAAATTTTGCTGACCTTTTATCAGAAGGATGTAGAATAAAGCAACTTCAAAATCTTAGTACTGGGAAAGTGCAGTAAGTCTAAAATAAACACAAAGATCTGGTCAAATCTTACAGTGTTACCAACAAAAATTTGCCTCAGAGAATAAAATATGTAAATTTGCCGATTCCAAAAATAAATATAAATTTTATGTCAAATTTTGTGTGAAAAATTCCCATTAAATTCAGAAATAATCATTCTATAAAATGAATAGCCTTAGACATGTCATATCTGCAAAACCTTAAATTGAATTAAAAGATAAGCATTGTTAATATTAAACTGTTTGGACTTTTTAAGTCATTTGGAAAGCAATTGGGAGTACCACTTTGAACTTATGAGATGAATCATAGTTACTTAATGTATTGTGGCAATCAAGAGTCAACCTTAAGAATTACTTCACCTACTTTTGTTAATGGTTTTTAAATCACTAACAGCTAGTAACGGAATTCAGGAAAAATATAAAATAAAATTTAAATGCAATTCGAAAACAAACGGAATCGTAAGACAATGTTAACAAAAGTTAATTATCACAAATTTATCCTAACCTTGAACTACTAAAGATTAGAGAAGAAAAAAAAGACACTCTTGTCCAACTGCCATAAATTTTATGGCAAAATGTTTAAAAAAATAAATTACACACACCAAAAAAAAAAGTACATTATAATAAATTTATAGGGTACTTATGTGTTATTCCGCTGATCATCGATGGAAATTTCGGCAATGGTCGTCAAACATTACAGCAGAATTCTAAAAGAAGCGGTCATCCATAATTAGAGCTAAATTGTATTATTTGGCCAGCCAATGGGGTAATTTGCTATAACTGCTATAAATGATACTTAAGTATCATTTATAGCAATATTTGACATTGTTCCTTATGGTGTAATGGTGCTTGAAAGAGTCTATCTAAAAATTTTTTTAAAATATATTTTCGGTTATTTCTTAAATGCTTTTAAAGTATAATAAAGAATTATGTTTCATGTCCTTAATATTGATGTTATGCTGCTGATATTTGATAAACAAGAGTTCTTACACATCCATAAAATAAATAAATTTTAAAAGCTTTCAGATTACATTATGCAATGTAAAACACAATGATTTTTTTTAATGTTTTGTGTGTTACCTTTATTTATTAAATATCATGTTCTTTGCAATTAAACCATAAAATTCAGTTCAAAAGCAATATCGCAAAATAATTTTAATATGAGCATATCTTTATAATTTCCTATACACAGTCTCGTGTGCTGGACGTAAAAATGTCACCCCCCCTGTGCAGTATTGCCACTGCTCGCTTTGAAATCATCGAGTTTGTAAATAAAAAAATTCGTTAAAGTTTTTTAAAATATGAAATAGATAATAAAACCAATTTCAAATGCCCATATTCCGGTGGAAACGTACATTATTCAAAATCTGATGGCTCTAGCTTCCGTTGTTTTATCACAATGCGAGAAATATGCATACATTTATGCAGATTCTTCATGATTTAATTTCTTTAAATATGATACAGAACTCTAATATTTGGTGGCAATAATTTGAAAAGTTAATCAATATTTATAGTGAATCAACACAAAATGCCAAAACGAAATTAATAGGCCTTCTGAGCAAATTTGCCCCTTTGGACTAAAATACTTATAGCAAAATCATATTCAGAGCTGAGACTTCAATAGTAACACAGGATTACGCACTGAAAGGATACACAAAAGGCTGAAAAGTCAGAAAATACTCTAGAAAAATTCCAGTTAAAAAAACTAAATAACAAATTTACCTGCTCTCCTCTTTCTTTTGATACTTGTCTTCTGTCATGAACATCACATTTATTTCCTAAAATCATTTTTTCCACATCAGTGGATGCATGCTAATTTAAACGGAAAAGAAATATATTATGCTTTTTATTCAATAAAGAATATAAATTTAAGCACATAATTATAAGGATATATTATAATTATGTTTTTTATTCTTACCTCTTCAATATTTCTGATCCAATTTTTTATATTTTCAAATGATCTCTCATTAGTAACATCATACACAAGCATTATACCCTAATGAGAATGGTAATACAAAACAGTTTAAGTTTAGGTTACAGTGACACCAAAGGGAAATTAAAATAATGTAATGTGCATACATTCACAATAGATACAAGAATTTTCAACAACTGGAGAATTCAATTACCATTGCACCTCGGTAGTAAGCAGTAGTAATAGTTCTGAATCTTTCTTGTCCTGCAGTATCCCTATATTAAACACAATAAGAAAATTTAATACAGATTTTCTTTCCATGAAATCTACTCAAAGAATAAAAAAGAAGCTTAAACAGATTACTTATCTATTTACTTAATTATTACACAATAAAATTTAATAAAAGGTTATCTTATTAAACATTTTATTAATTCAATATGCTATGCAATTAATTTCAAATTTTGGTACTTATGTAATATATCACTGTCTGTGAATGTCAGTGGAAGATGTCATCAAAATAATGACAATCATTCCTCCAGAATTTTGAAGAAATTCATACTTCTTTACTTAATAAACATTCTATAACCAATCTCCTTCACTTTTGAGCTTCTTTTAAAACAGCCTTCATCAATTTCTACTATTTTGTTAAGCCCTCCGACTTTACTGGAAGCTCTGCTTAGAACACAAAGAGTACTTACTATCTTCCCGCAAATAATCATTCCATTAAGTTACTGTTTTGTAGACCATATTCAGCATACTATGTTTATTAATACACACTTTTTTTGTTGGTAGCATCCAATAGGTGAAAATAATCCACTAGTTACTGTTCCGTAAAGACTCTAAATTTTAATAATTTTTTTCAAAAAGCATGAAAAACTCCATCAATAACAGTTAATTTATACCCTTGTTCATAGAAAGAAAACATGGCTTATCAAGAATCGGTCATCATGTTACATCACTGAAAGTGCTGATGTTATGAATGCGCTGTTACATCATGCTTTTCCATAATTGGCGCTAGATCACATTGCTTGGCAGTGTGATCTAGTGCCAGTTATGGCCTTGGTTATAGCCAGTTATGGCCCTCAACCATGAAACTCTTACTTGGCAAGAGTTTCACGGTTGAGGGTATAACACGTAAGAACCCAAATTTTTATATATAAATATTTACATCTTACATTACAGTATAAATATTGTTGCGTGCGTACGGGTTCGTTATGAAATGAATGCACAAGTCCGATGAAAAATGAACAAAAATTTATTATTATCACAACAAAAATGCTTAAATTTTCTCAAATTATCATGCAGTATTACAATATCTCACAGTAGTTATCTTTTAACTACTCAAATGTCCAATAGAACGTCATTCAAAACAGCTAAAGAACGCTAATCCGCGAATTCGCTACAATCAACAAGAGCAGTTTTCTAAACAACAACAAACTAAGCAACTACTACAAACTGAGATGTTTTCCTCCTTTTATATAAGATTTTAAAATCACGCGCTAGAATTTTCCAGTACTTTCTCGAAATCAAAAAGAGATATTTATTTATTTAATGCACGCGCTCTTGTATTTTCAATTTTCCGGCTTAGCTTTCTTTTAATATTCGTCACGCGCTGCACTACGCGAGAAATAAAACCATTTAATTTATAATTGAACTAACATTAGCTTTTTAAATACCAAATTCGTAACACCGCCCCCTTCCCAAGGACTGCACGTCCCGGGCAGTACAATCCCTGGACAGGAAGCTAAACTTACAACTGTGGCATAAATGCATTACTTTACAATATCAAACAACATGAACAATAAATGCAATAACTAACTTAAACAAATCAAATGCTATCAAATACTAAATACAAAACAAATACAAAACAATACTAATACAAATCATACTAAATGCAAATCAAATACTAAATACAAATCAAATCAAATACACATTTAAAAACAAAAGGACCATGGTCTTATACTATTTACAATTATTTACATTATGTACTATGGCCATAGTAATAAGCTAACCTGTCGTAAGAGTTCGAAGACTCACGGATCCGAACCACGACGTCATTCGTGTTCAGCACTGTATATGGACCATCCGAAGGTGACTGTAATTTAGGACTCAGTCCTTTTCGTTGAATTGGGTTCCACAACCACACCTTGTCTCCTTTGTTGGATCTCTATGTCTAGTAGCTCTTGTGTCGCATCTGGTCTTCATTTTCTCCGTCGCCAAGTTGACTCGCTTTCGTGCAGAACGGTGCATCCCCTCAAACCGGGCCTGGGCATCTTGGATGTGTTCCTCAGGCGATGAAGGCGCATCCGTAGGGCGACTAAACAGGCGGTCACAAGGCAGACGAAGGTCTCGACCGAAGAGCTTCTGGGATGGAGAATAGCTGGTAGTCTTGAGTTTCTTTTCGACCCTGGTATGATTTCGGCAGCTTCCCGAGCTCGATCTTTCGGACAAGGCGTCGACATTTCCAGGCGAGGATCCCTTTTGAGGATGGATAGTCATGCCATCAGATGCTGAAAGCAGCTTATTGTTTTTGAAATCTAAGGAAAAATTGTATTTCCTTAAAAAGTCCAATCCGAGTATGCATGGATCTGTAATATCCGCCACATATGCCGTGTGATGGTAGGCGGCACTTCCAAACGTGATGTTTACGTTTAACTTCCCAGTTATGTCGATCTTGTCACCAGACGCAGTCTGAAGGGTAACACAGGATGGCGTCCAAATAAGTTTATCTTTAAACTGTTCAGCTAAATCTTTCCTAATGATGGTAACATTAGCTCCTGTGTCAATGATCATATTGCAAGGAACTCCATCGATATTCCCATTGATGGACAGTCCGTTATTGTTGCCACTCACTATAGAGATCTTAAGCGCTTTAAAACAGGGTTTTTCATTATCTGGCAACCTCCGTTCCTTGATATGGTCATTAATTTGTTTCCTGCGTCGTTGCTCAGAAATTGTCTCAATTTTCGTACCCTGGGGTGTTCTGCAATTCTTTGGTACGTGGCCTTCAGCTCCACAGTTCCAGCACTTTGGTTTCTTATCAGTCCTTTTCCTTCCCGTGGCATTTAATTGTCTGTTTAAATCGTATGCTTATTTTCCGTGCTCTGGGGAGTTCTGCAGTTCCTTCGTAGGTGGCCTTCAACATCGCAATTCCAGCACTTTAGGGTCGGTTTCGTTTCACCACTATTCCGTCTTAAAGCATTCACTGGTCTTGTCAACTCATCCATTTTATTATCCGTGCCCTGGGGTGTTCTGCAATGCCGTCGTAGGTGACCTTCAGAACCACATCTCCAACATCTTACAGCCACTTTGTTTTCACTGCTACTCCGTATCAAAGCATCGACTTGTCTGGATAAATCATCTAAACGAGCCATCAATTGGTCCCCTGGGTCGTGGACTCGCACAGCTCTGACTGGGTAGCGATCCCTAAGAGTTGCTTGCTGGGCTGCCTCCAATTTCATGGCGTACAACAGAGCGCTTTTTACATCCTTTACATCTGCCATTCGCAGTGCTTTCTGTGTATTTCAGGGTCCCGGATGCCATCGATGAAATATTGCAGGACAGGATTTCCCTTGTTTCTGTCGGGCACTCTCCGAAAAGGCGATGGTGGGACAGCCTTTCAACATCCGTGGCGAGCTCCTGAAGTGTTTCGGTGGGCTTCTGTTGACGGGATTTTAATTGAAGCCTGCTGTAGTCTTTTAAAAACATTTCTCGCCAAAGCGCAGCTCCAATGCGCCGGATAGAGCTTCGAAATCTAAGTCTTTGGTTTTCGGGAAGCGTCTGCAGGATATCCGCTGCGTCTGCTCTCAGAGAAGCGGCGAGATGACAGGCCTTAGCTTGGGAATCCCATCCATTCGCATCCGCAACGATAGAAAATTGTGTGTCCTATACACCTGCCAGGAGGTCTTCCCATCATATGTGATAGCTTCAGAGAGGGACGAGCAGGCATCGGTAAAATTTTAAACCATCAGAAGTTGCTCCCTGCCGTCGCTACGAATTTCTTTAAAGTGTCAACTTCTTTGGCGATGACAGCAGAAATTCTGTCTATCATCATTTGTTGTTCAATATGTCCTTGGACGGCAGAAACTCTTTCTTCAATTTGTTGTTGGAAGGCCGAAACTCTTCCTTCGACTTGTCGCTCCACAGCCGACACTCTATCTTGTATATTTCATCTTTGACAGAAGAAACTTTCTTTCTTCAATTTGCCCAACTTTATTTTTCATTCAACCACATCTATTCTGCCTTCCATAGCATTCGAAATTTGGTTTCTATTATGCAGGTAATTTCTCTTTTCATTTCGTATTGACTTTCTTCAATCTTTACTTTACGGCTTTATTTCGTCTTTAAAAGTTAATTGACCAGCTTGAATGGCCTTCATCTCTTCCTTAACGGATTCCTGGCCCAATTTCATTCGCCTTTCCTTTCTTCTTTAACGGAGTTGACGGCTCCTTCCATCTTTTTCTTGGAAAGCAGCAAATGCAGTCATCATTTGCCTGAATTGTTCTTCCATCGCTCTTGTTATTGGCATTCAAATCCCACACTCCTGACACCAAAAATTGTTGCGTGCGTACGGGTTCGTTATGAAATGAATGCACAAGTCCGATGAAAAATGAACAAAAATTTATTATTATCACAACAAAAATGCTTAAATTTTCTCAAATTATCATGCAGTATTACAATATCTCACAGTAGTTATCTTTTAACTACTCAAATGTCCAATAGAACGTAATTCAAAACAGCTAAAGAACGCTAATCCGCGAATTCGCTACAATCAACAAGAGCAGTTTTCTAAACAACAACAAACTAAGCAACTACTACAAACTGAGATGTTTTCCTCCTTTTATAAGATTTTAAAATCACGCGCTAGAATTTTCCAGTACTTTCTCGAAATCAAAAAGAGATATTTATTTATTTAATGCATGCGCTCTTGTATTTTCAATTTTCCGGCTTAGCTTTATTCGTCACGGGCTGCACTGCGCGAGAAATAAAACCATTTAATTTATAATTAAACTAACATTAGCTTTTTAAATACCAAATTGGTAACAATATGTTTTAACAGACACATATCATAACAAAAAATTCATAGTTTTACATATATATAGTAGAGTGACAGAAATACACTTTTTAAAAATTTTTGTAATGGTATAACAGGATCTGTACACATTTCTGCATGTGGAAATTGAGTACTTTTAAGGATCACCAATGAGAGAAGAATCCATCAAGGAAACACGAAATGAATAAACTAAAGCAATTATCTACACATAAACTTCCAGTT